ACAGGTCACGTCGATCGACACGACGCTCAAGATCATTACCTACGACAGCTTTGGCCAAGGATCGTTGCATCAACGGCGCCCCAGGCGAGCAGCACAACTACAGCAGCAGCGACCAAGACAGCTACTACATCGGTGACAAGCTCAGTAGCATCACAGTCATCAAGATGACGTCCAGGCAGCAGCATCAGCAGTTCAATGACGGCCCCCTCTTCGTTGACAAGGAGGGCGTGGTACACTACAACGGCGACCCTTCCTACAGCGAGGAGTTCGAGGAGCTTGCAATGCTCGGCTACCACGCGAGCGAGGAAAATATCAAGAAGCGCTACGCGATCAAGCTCAATAATTCTCTACATGGACGAACGTGGGCACTTACACTTACACTTACGTGGCTGAGATCAGTGCGCAAGCAGTTTTGGGCGAAGCAGGTAATGACCCACTTGCTGCAGTCAAGCTGGTGGTAACTACAGTACGACAGGCGTGCGAGAGCCCTGACATCGGCCGTCTTGAGAAGCTCAAGACGCCTGGTTTGTCTTGAGTTTTTTCTTTGATCGCGCGAGTTTGAAGAAATGTTGGGCTTGTCTTGAGTTTTGTTTGACTGTCTTGAGTTTTGTTTGACTGTCTTGAGTTTTGTTTGGATGTCTTGAGTTTTGTTTGGATGTCTTGAGTTTGTTGTCCAATCTCATGGACAACGTACACCATTCGGCATTCACACATTATTAGTATACGTTAACGTTGGGCCTTCGCGCTTACAACGTCAGTCAGGTTAGGTTGGGTTACGGTGGCGTAGATATCCTCGCGCTCGTCCGAATAAAAAGACACTACCCCTCCTCCTTTTCCTCCTCCTCCTCGATCTTCCTCATCCTTTTAATCCGCCCACATCTTCCTTTTCTCGTTCCTCCTCCCCCCCCTCCTTCCCCCCCCCCCCCTTGGGAGGAGCTCCCCGCGCTCTATGCTGCAGTGCTGCATGCCCTGAGTGGGGGAGGAGGAGGAGGAGGAGGGGGAGAAGGCCCCCTCCTCCTCCTCGAGGACGAGGAGGAGGGGGGAGGAGGAGGAAGAGGAGGAGGAGGAGGAGGAGGAGGAGGAGGAACAGGAAAAGGAGGAAAAGGAGGAGGAGGAGGAGGAGGAGGAGGAGGAGGAGGAGGAGAAGGAGAACGAGGAGGAGGAACTCGCGCCGCGCGCGCGCGGCGCGAGGCCCAGGCCCCGCGAGGCCCAGGGCCCGCGCGCCAGCGCGCGCGGCGCGCCATGCGCGCGAGCTCGCGCCGCTGACGGTTCCGAGATCAGCTCGGATTGTTTTGGGGTTTTCGACCCCTGTTGCTTGGAGGCACCTTGATCAGGTGGCCTCGCGCCGCCGCTGCTTTCAAGCAGCTAAGCGCTGCGTGTGGTGAAGGTAGAATTTAGGAGGAAGGGGAGGTAGAGGAGGGGTAGAGGAGCGCGGCATGAGGAGGGCTGGGAGCGAGGGCTGAGGAGGGCGAGGATGAGGGCCCACGGGGGTTATCACCCACGGCAGCAACACGAATGGCGGCGGCACGCCTCGTGGGAAGCACTCTGCAATGCGTGGAGCAGGCGAGAGCGCCGTGTTTCTCGAGGCTGAGGTGGACAACTGATCTCAGCATGCCTTCAGTGTCTTCCAACTGTCCTTCCTCATCCTCCTTCTCCTCGGCCCCTCCGCCCCCCTCCAGCGTCCCCGTCATATCCCTCCCCTCTCCTTCCTCTTCCCTCTCCCTCCCCGTTATCCTGCCTTCTCTCCCCGCTCCCCCCCCCTTCCCCAGGCCCCATAATGTAGGAGGCCTTCGGCCCGCGCCCGCCTGCCGCCGCGATCCGCGCGAGGGGCGTGCCGCGATTGCCGGCGCCGCAGGGGCTCCAGGGTGTCAGGGCCAATGGTCTCCCAGAACATCATGGCCCCCATGTGGGCTCAGCAGGGTGCCCTGGGCTCCAAGGCGCATCCCCTTGCTCGGGCCCTAAGGCTTTCGCCCCCTCCGCCGAGGGCCCCACCGAGGCCCAGAGATATCCCGGTCGGGTTTCAGGAGTGCCTCGACAATGCGCCCTCCCCACTTGGGCATCGCACCAGGGGGGTGCATAACGAGTTGGGCATGTGGCGCAGGCATTCGGCGTTTTTTGGGGTGACCACCCCTTGCCTTCCTTTGGCTTATCGGACCCTTTTCGGGTTCTAGTTGGGGCCGCGTCTGGGGTCCGAGGGTTCACCGAATAGCGTTCCGAATGGGTGCCCGCGGTAGCCTTTCGGAGGGACCTCGAACTGAACAGTTGCAACTGGCATGGTCATTTGGGGCGCCTGCGGGCATTCCTTGGTCGCCCCGCAACGCCCCCTACCTGGGGCCCGACAAAGGCACCGATATGCCCCGCGAGGGGCGCCGCTGGGCCCCAACTTACTCGCGCTGAGCCCCTCGAGGTTCTTAGAGGTCCCAAGGCGGACGAAGCTTCCTAGCGGTGACATCAACGCGGCCCCCTTGGATGCGACCGCAGAAAATGAGCGACCCACGCCCCGCAGACTCGGGGGGGGGGGGGCGGGCGGGAGGCGACGTCGCGACGCCATGGCGCGACGGCGCCCCGACGCCGCGACAGCTGCGCAGGGCATCCACACTTGGCCCTTTCGGGCGCATCGTCGACCGATGCCATGGATTGTCGGCCGTGCATATTGCGCACGAGCAACGAAACAAGGGGGCGACACTGGAAACTCGCGCATGAAACCGAACTGACGCCATCCAAAAATGTCATGTTGGTTGTTTGCGCTCTGATAAGAAAACATGGGTTGATCACTACTTCTCATATCGAAAATCGCAAAATCGCAAACGCCCCATCCATCAACTTATCTGAAGTGTGTTTCGGCGCTGCATCGCAGCCACCGGATCTCGACAACGGCCCCGCCCATCAAAATTCATTAGCCCAAGGCCCCCACCACAGGCCCGAATGTAACTATCAACAATAACACACACACACAAACACCAACAAACACACACCGACACACACCACCACACACCACCACGCGCGCCAACAAACACACACACACCATCACACACTCCAACACACTTTCCAACACACACACACACACCAAAACACACGATCACACCCACCAACACACACACACACACTTACACACACACACACACACTCCCCCCACACACACACACACACACACACACACACACACTCCCCCACACACACACACACACACACACACACACACACACACACACACACACACACACACACACGCACACACGCCCACACACACCCACACACACACACACCCACACCCACACTGACACACACGCACACGCACACATTCACACAGTCTCACACACACACACACCCACACACACACCCACACCCACACGCACATCCACACACACCCACTCACACCCAGACGTACACACACGCACCAACACACATCAACACACACACACCAACACACATACACACCCACACACATACCAACACACACACACCAACACACACATATACACACGCACGCACACACACACACACACACGCTCACACACACACACACCTACATACCCACACACACAGACGCACACCCACACCCACACCAACACGCATGCACACGCACACGCACACCCACACACACACACACACCCACACTCAAACACACACACACACACGCACACGCACGCCCACGCACACCCACACACACCCACACACACACACACACGCACACCCCCCCCCCACCCACCCACACACACACATTCACCCACACACACACACACATACCCAATCACATCCACACACACACACACCTTCACACACACCCACACACCCACACACACACACACACGCACACACACACGCACACACACACACACCCACACACCCACACACACACTCACACACGCCCACACACACAGGCACACACACACACACACACACACTACAAGCCTTCGGCCCATCCCGCCACCGTGCCTGGGTTGTGGGTCAGAGTCCTCATGGATGCTTCTTGGGTTTTTTCGGCGGGGCTCTCGGTGGCTTCGGGGGGGCAGGTTTGACGCCTGTTGGGCGCCTCCTGGGGGCATTTGGGGGGCCTCCCAGAGCCTCGTTGGGGGCCTCTTGGGGCCTCTTGGGGGCCTCCTGGCGGCCTCTTGGGCTTCCTGGCGGCCTCTTAGGGCGGAGAGCTCGAAATGTCGGTTCTTGTCCTCAGTCCGGGTTCCTTCTGAGGTGTTTCTGGCGCGGCCTTGAGCCGTCTTGGAGGCTTATTGGGCCATCTCGGCACCCTCTTGTGGGCTTCTTGGGCCGTCTTGGGGCGATCGTGGGGGCTTCTTGGGCCGTCTTAGAGCGTCGGGAGCTCGAAAAGGCGGAAACTTCCAAATCCTTACGAAACTTAATTTCAATGGTTGTTGCCCCGTGGGACTCTCTGGTGCGTGCTCTTGGAGGTTTCTTGGGCCGTCTTGGAGGCCTGTTGGGCTGCCCAGATGCAATCTTGGGTTGCCCAGGAAATCGGTCAAGGTCCACAGGAAATCTTCGGGCTTTCATCGGATCTCGCATTCGGTTTCCTACGCCCCGGCATTCTGTAGGTAGGCCCCAGGAGCACGAATCCCAAATTGGGGCCCCTGCCCGCCAGGCGGCGGGCGGCCCCCTGTTCAGTTTCGGCAGGGAGGCGCCAGATAGCCTTCTGTTTCTATTTTGACATTGGAACGCCTGCCAGAGCCCAGCAAGGGCCTTCCGCAGGCTGAACAGGAGATCGTTTGTTCGGTGCCGCGCGCAATTACGAAGGAGGCGCAGCCCGCCTCCTTGCGTGGCTTGGAGGCGGGCGCGTTTAACCTCGCCCGCCCCGTCGTTCGTCTGTGCGCTCCGTTGAACGCTGCGACCAACGGTCGTTCGCGTTTGACGTTCGTCGTGTGCGGCGCTCGTGGTGGGGATGGATGACGCGGAGGTTTATAAAAGTGCAAGTTGAGGAGAAAGGGGAAGCGGAGGGTTGACGTGGGAAGAGTGGGGGACTGGATAGGGGGTTCGCGCCCTCCGTCGGGCAGGCCGCGAACGCTGAAGAGGTTCTCATGAAGAAAAACGAGGTCATTCCCGGCCACTTGCGAGGCGCATTCACCCCTTTGTCGATCTCGCCGTCGGGCCCATCCTCCGCTCCATCGCTTTCAATGCTGTTTTCTTTTGAATCCCGTATTTCTCGTTCCTTACTTTGAATTGACTTCTTCTCGCCTTCCCCCCCTCCCTTTCCCCTCTCTTTTCCGTCTCGTCACTTCCCTTCCCTTTCCTCTGCCGTTTTCTTTCCTCTTTCCTTTGTTGTTCCCCTAGTGTATGTTCCACCCCGCTCATCTACATTTCCACCCACCTCCCGTACTTCTCCCCCCTCTCTGCTGAATTATTTCCTTCCGCCCTTTTTCATGTTACTCTTTTGCCTACGCGCACCTTTACCAGTAGCTGTTTATAGCTCCGCGCGAGCTCCCTGACACGAAGCGGTGATGGCGGCGGCCCCGCGAACCCTGCACAGGTGCCTACGGCAGGTTCGCACTGCGTTAACGCGGCGGCCACCCACCCCAGATCGGGCGTTCAAGGTTGAATACCGTCTCCGTCAGTAGTCTAGAGGCCGACATCGAACGAGTCGCGCTACATAAAACAACGTGAAGTCTCCTCGACGTGGACCTGCCGATGAGTCCGCGGAAGCTGCGCGCTCAGCAGCTTCCCTCTCTCTCCTTACCCCAGCGCCCGCAGGCACTGCCGACTCCGACGGCCCAAACGTCGCGCCCTATATCGCGGCGGCCCTCTTCGCAGGATGGGGTGGTGGGGAGAGGGTAGAGGGAGTGCGGAGGGAACCGCCCGCCGCTGCTCGTAGTCGTGGCGGGTTTGCTGCGCATGTGAGGAGGAGGAAAAGGGTTAAGGGCAGGCGGGTGAGGCAGGGGAGGCGGAGGGAAGGCGGAGGAGGAGGAGGAGGAGGAAGAGGATGTTTCTTCATTCCTTTACATCCGTATGTAAAGTTCCCCAACAGCATGGTTGTGTTTTGGATGGTGGTGCGACGGCGGCTTGAGGTGCTGCGCCCACTTCTTTTCTCCGGATACTTCTCGTGGTTGCTTCGGATTCATCCCATCAGCAGTGCCAGCAGCAGGAGGAGGAGAGGAGGGGAAGGGGGAAGTGGAAGAGGGGAGGGGGGAGGAGGAGGACAAGGGAAGAATTGGACGTGCCGAGCGTCCGCCGCGCCGCTGCCCCGGGAGGCGTGGCGATCTTCGCCGCGGTGGCCGTTCCCCTCCGGAGACGAAGGGCGCTGGCCTTGACCGCCGCTGGCGACCAGGGCCGCGAACATTCTTTGGGCGTCTCTGCAGGGCTGACCCCTCCCCCGTGCCGCCCTCTCCCGCCACTCGCTCGTCATGTGGGCGTCGAGGAAAAAAACACGACGAGCAGTTTCGCACGGTTTCGGGCCCTGGGTCCTTCACGGATCGACCCAGCTCCAGGCGTCGTGACCAAAGATAGGTTCGAGAGTTCAAGATTCATGATTTCGACATTTTTATCGATGTCTGCTGCCAGGGATCTGGAACTCTTCAGCAGGGCCGCCCCCCTCTTAGCGCCTTCCCGTTTCCGTCAGGGCAGGGTTCGGCGGTATGCTGCAGTCTGCAGCCGACAGAAGCACTGGGGTGGGGCAGGCCCCCCCCCCGTTCGGAAGCTGCTGCCAAAAGGGGACGCCGTCGAGTAGCCAAGCGGCCAGCGCTGGGGGGGACGTATTTTGTCCGCGCGCGCGACGAGGCAGGGCGAAGGGGGCGCCGTTCCCAAAAACATCCCCGCCTCTCGGAAGGCTGGCAGAAGGGTGGGGCCCTTAGGAGCTGTTCCTCGTCCTGCCCCCTCTTGCGTGCCGCCAAATTGCGCGCGACGCCCCCCTCCCTCTCTGGGGCTGCTCGCTCCGATCCGCTTCGTGCCGGCCGCTCCGCGATGCGCTGTTTGTTGCCTGCTGCGTTCCCCCCTCTTCCTTCTCTGTGTGTTCGGTTCCCCAAGCAGTGCTTGCACTTAGGGGCTCTTACTTGCGTTCCCAATGCATTTGATAGGTCCGCCAAGGTTTCGCAGCGTCGCCGCCTCGTTGCCGCTTCATTGCAGTCCATTTGAGGGTTACGTCTCGCCGCGTCGCCGCCCGTGGCCGCTTCGCTGCCGCCTCGTTGCTGCCCACTTGGGGGGGTCAGAGCGAGGTTTCGCCGCGTCGCCACCCGTGGCCGCCTCGGTGCCGCCTTGTTGCTGCCCACTCACTTGGGGAGAATCCGTCGAGGTCTCGCCGTTTCGCCACCCGTTGCCGCCGTGTCGCCGTCCGTTATCAGTCAATGCGCCCCTTCGCACCACCCGGTTCCTGCCCTTCTCACCCACACTTCTCTGCACTGGCATGTACTGTACTGCTTGTGACCTGCTTGTTACCTGAAGCTGTTTGGCTCAGGTGTGACAGAAACGGGCCGGCCTCCTCCCTTCAGGGTTACATTTGTTGCGTGCTTAACGGCATTATCATTGATTGCCCATGTATATTGTGAAGCCCATTTGACTATGGGACATCATCGGGACATACTGCAGGGATAGCGCATATCGAGGCACAACGCTAGTTATCAGCCGAAGCGGAGGCACAACCGTTCGCTTCGCAGAGCATGGGATCTCAAGAAGGAATGTTCGGGAGGACAGATCATCGAGGGCCTTCCGAACGTGATGAAAGCACGAGCGCCTCGGACAGGCGACATACATATCATATTCTTCCCTATATGGGAACATCAGGGAAAACCCTTGACTTGACAGAGGGAGAATCATCAGTTGATTCGGAAAGAAGCTCCAAGGAGTTACCCTCTAATAGAAGGGATGGCAAAGCCATACCTTCTTCACTCTTCTTAAGCAGTGGTGGCGCACGCTGGCTCTCATAAGTTGATAGGCGTAGGTTTTGAGATGGAGAAATTGCTGGATACCAATCTCTTCGAGGCGTCGGGTGTTGAACATGTGGGTGCCGGGGATGCTGTCCGATGCGCATTGCATGGGCAGGGTGAAGATGTGATCGACATGCAATCTGAAGAAGATAGTTCCCATTCACTGGAGAAGAACGATGAGTATGCTCGATTTCACACTTCGCCTGGCCCGTCGCTTCATCTTGAACCTCTTCTTGATGTATGGGATAATCCTGTTAATGCTTAAGCAATGATTGGGGCAAGTCAGAAAGCCACTGTTGATTCAGACGACGAAAGACAATATGAAGAAAGTCTAACCCAAGGTGGATGCTCATCGGCGCAGCCGATAAGAGATTCCCCTGACGCTATACGCACAATAAGGAGTGCGCGAGAGGCTACATGGAGCGATTCCTCATCCATTGACGAAATGAGTCTCATAATGAAAACGATCACTTGGATGTTTCGCCCTCATCACAAGGTTTCTACATACCCGACTTTTCGCTACCCAGAACAGGCAGAGATAGAGTACCAGAATTGACGACCTTGTCGTTCAGGATGAGCGAGATGATTGGGTAATGAACATGGATGTGAATGACTCCAAGAGGGGTATGAGGACAAGAGAACAGCACACCCCTACCCAGAATAGCGAGAGGGGACGATCCAGTAAGGCCCCCAGGGCCGGGCGTTCCAGTTCCAGAGGGTTTAATGATCCGCCAATAACCTCAACAAATAGGACCACCGGCAGTTGCTCGATACGGGAAGTTTGCTGAAATCCGGCCCATTGTCCCCTTCCTGCGCAGAGAATCGATGTCCAGGGAGATCGCGCAAACCAGGGGGGCCATGTCGAAGACCAGTGTGTTCTCAATGCTCGAATGTTTCCCCAAGTGCAGCCGAGCGTGGCTCTGTAATCATTGCATCACAATGGAAGAGCATAGTTGCCATCATATTGCGACCCAGGAGTGGAATGGAAGAAAGAGACAAGATCGAGAACACTTGAGAGCTGCGAGTACACGCGTACCGCATATTCTTTCTGATGTGCAAGTCAATGCGCAGGCGGCCGAAGAGGCCCAACGTCGACTTGCGATTTCTGAGGCCGAAGAGCACATGATTGCGGGGGGGATGGGGCACGAGAAGACCGTCGTTGTCGAAGATGCGCGTAAGCTGACACGGCGCGCTGGGGCCAATGCGGCAGGCGTCGCGGATGAAGCGAAGAGGCGCCTAGCTCAGGAGGAGAATGAGAAGTTGGGGATTCAGGGCATAGCAGAAAAATGGGCGATCGACTCTCAACAGAAAGCAGAAATATAAACAGCTGGTTATAGAGAGATGGCTGATGCTGCGAGGCGGGGAGGAGAAAGAGAGGCTCGAGAAAAGGCAGCGCGAGAAAATCAGGGGCTCCGAAATCAGCTCGAAGCTGCGAGACTTGAGGCCGAAAGAGTGGAATCAGAAGCATTGCGAGCCCGTAGAGAACAGGAACAGAAAACCCAGGCAACCAGAGCGGAGGGCCAGAGGCAAACGGTCGAGGCTTTGGATCGTTTGAAGGGGCAATCAGAGGAACACATGAGAAGCAACGCAATTGCAAATCGGACTGTAAGCGAAGAAAACAGAAGATTGAAGTCTGACCTCGAGCAGCGACGATTGGGGGCAGAGGTCAACTCAACAACGGCACAGCCGACGCACGTTGAGCCACCTCCCAGTCCAAGTGTTGCTCGGCCTGATCGGAGAACAGGTATGTTGCGAACAAGTGCGCGATCTGGCACCTCGAATCAGACGTGTCACGTTTGTGTGCGACCTTCGTCCGATGTATGCAAGAGTTGCCTGAAACGCACATGCGATGCTCATCTGGGTCCGGGTGTTAAGCGATGCGATGAATGTGCGTTAAAGAAAACGCCGGGCCACCAGGATGAGGGCGACGGGAAAAAACGAACCTCACAACGCGCCTGAAACCCCGGGGCACAAGTAACGACCCTGTCGGGAAGGCGCCGAGACACTCGGCCTTGCCTGGAGATGATAAGCCTGAATGCCAGAGGAGCAATCTCGCCGACAGAATGGGGATGCCGCTTTTCAAATCGCAGAAGTCGGGCCATGGCAGAATGCCATTGCTGACCGCTCCGTCAATGCCCGCGCTTCCTCTCGCGAAATTGCACTTCGTTCCTGTGCCGGCCGTCGAGGAGACTTCAGTAGTTGAGGGCGCGCAAGGAGTCGATCCTGGGGATGCCCCTTTTCAACTCAAAGATATCGAGTCATCCGAATGCTCTTGATCTACCAGGCCGCCTTCCTCTCACCGTCGGCGCAGCCGCTGCTGGCGGAGGGGGCGCGGGTCAGGGAGGTCAAGACGACGACCAGAGGGATGACCAGAGTACAGCTCCCAGCACAGGAATGATTGTTGCATTACAGTGGGGCGAGACGGGCAAGTCCAAACCGCCCTGGGGCCCTCCAGGGGGGCCGGGAGATAATGGTGGCCCAGACGGGGGCGGCGGCGGGGGACCATGTGATCGAAACGACCCCGCATGGCGATCTTCTCACGTCAACCCAATGGACACCAGTTTCAAAAATTACGCAAAAGAGCTGAATTTACTCGATATACCAAGCGTTCAGACTCTTCGAGAATGGAGGCAGCATTGCATCAGAGCTGTAGCTGGATCGCGACATGATGTTCACGCGGCACAAACGTGGGTCAGTGAAGCAATGGATCCGGATGTGCCTAAGGAGAATATCAGGGACCCCTTGGGGATTGATGCGTCTTGATCTGATGATGGCGACAAATTTGCTTGATCAATTTGCGAGGATGAAACGCAGTCAACGTCTATCTGTTCAACACACGCATTTCCGATCGCAAATCAATCGCATGGAACATCCGTGCCAGATATAAGGCCACCCCTTAACGGGGCGTAAGATGATGCGAGCTATCTGCGCGTGGTGTTCCGTCAGGTCTGAGAGCGGGCAACATTGGATTTGTCGAGATCTCTTCAACTTGACCATTGATCGACAGAAGCCCGAGCAGGACTTGCATTGCTTCTACAGTAAATGGATGGAACGGTTCCAAGAGTTGCATGGTGCCAGGGAACCATCGGATAAAATGAAGGCTTCGATACATGCTCATTTCTACAAACAGATAGGCTCCCAGGCTTCACTCTGTCATGCAATGGTATGATTTGTGCGCTGATCCTCCGGGCACAGGAATGAGTACCTATCAATGGCTATTGCTTCGGGTTGAGTCTCTTATGATGCGAGACAGAGAACTGCGGGTCATTTCGGTGCACGAATCCAGCCTCCATTCCAGGAATTGGCAAGCTCGTCTGTCAGGCGGAAAGATTGGGGGCGGCGGAGGCGGAAGGAGGGCCTCTGCCATGGCAGCGACGATTCAGCGATTATCTGAACGCCCG